TACACATAGAAATTAGTCTGTAGCTAGCAGCAGACAGAAAAGAGCCCTTTTCCTGTGAACTTCAAATGAACAAATTACTAACTAGGAAGACAATTTTAAAATTATTTTTCTTGTTATTGAAGATAACAGCAGCAGAACACATAAGTAGGTGTTTTCAATGATGTAGAAATGAAGCCATTTTCAGCTTCTTAAACAACTTCAAGTTATAGGAAATATCAGAGGAAATATTAAAATGCCACTATAATTTTTAAAATTCAGATTACACGAAACTGATTTTTATGAAGAGCTAAATCTTTTTAGAAAAATTGTTCTGTGAACCATTAGTTCAAATGACTAAAATTTATATTTCAAAATAATTTATCAGGGCTTCCCTGGTGGCGCAGTGGTTGAGAGTCTGCCTGCCGATGCAGGGGACACGGGTTCGAGCCCCGGTCCGGGAAGATCCCACATGCCGCGGAGCGGCTGGGCCCGTGAGCTATGGCCGCTGAGCCTGCGCGTCCGAAGCCTGTGCTCCGCAACGGGAGAGGCCACAACAGTGAGAGGCCCGCGTACCGCAAAAAAAAAAAAAAAAAAAAAAAAATAATTTATCAGAAATACACCCAATATTGTCACTTTTTTATAAAATATTCTTCACAGCTCCAGTAATAGGTGTATCAGCAGAAAGATTCTTCTCAAAATTAAAAATTATAAAAAACCATTGATGCATTTGCCGAGATGATTGATGTCATATTTATATTGATTGCAAATGAATTGGCTAAAAGCATATAATTTTTTTTTTTTTTTTGCGGTACGCGGGCCTCTCACTGTTGTGGCCTTTCCCGTTGCGGAGCACAGGCTCCGGACGCGCAGGCTCAGCGACCACGGCTCACGGGCCCAGCCGCTCCGTGGCATGTGGGATCTTCCCCGATCGGGGCACGAACCCGTGTCCCCTGCATCGGCAGGCGGACTCTCAACCACTGCGCTATCAGGGAAGCCCCAAAGCATAGATTTTGATGACTTAATTGTAGAAAAGTGAGTCAAATCTTACGATCAATCAAAATATCCCACTTAATAGGCTACTGTATTTATAATTAGAACACCAAAATATTATGTTTTATAATTTATATTTTATATGGTTATTTATGTTACTATTACCCTGATCATGTTTTGTAAGTAATAAAATATTTTAAGGGAAAATCTTTTTTAGCAGCACTTTCTTCTTACTCCTTGAAAAAGGGGCCCTGCATTTTCATTTTGCTCTGGGCCCCACAAACTGTGTAGTCCACCCTGATAGCAAGATTTAGCACTGATGCTCCCCTCCAGACATCTTCTCCTTGAGTTCTTATTCTTTACAACTTGAACTGACAGATGCTTTTGCCCATTAGAAATAGCAATGTTTCATGTTTAAGAATATTTGCCTTTTAGCACTCAAAACAACACATTCACTGAATATGCTCTGTTTTTCCATGAATTATAAGCCTCGGCCTCAGCCTCTCAGCCCTTTGGTTTTTGCCTACCTACCTGCTTTTGGAGATGGGAAGGCTAGTTCCATGGTGCGTGGAGCACAGGGTTGTTATATCCTTACTGATGGAGGATTTTTCATAGTTTTCGCTCAATTTGATACTTCCCCATTGACTTACCAGTCATAACTCAGTGCCCATTTGTTTGACTTCATCCTAAGAGTCTTGGTCAGCCTGACATAACAGTGACAAGAAGTTCAGGTGTTCTGGTGGCTTCCACTGTGAGGCTGGAAAGATTTATGTCTAGACAGCTGTGTGCAAAAACCTCTCTGCACGTGGAGATCAACATATCCCCAAAGGATATAATGAGTAAAACTAGAAGAATAATGAAGAAAAATGACAGGCGCATGGAAGGGGAACAAACAGGGTATGCCTCTGGTAAATAACTCCCTGAAGGACTCTTAGAAAGGACTTACTGATTAATTGAATCAATCCATCATCCTTGGGATGACAGCATCAATTTGCAATCTTTTCTGGGAGTTGTTTTATTCCATTGCTGTTACCACTTAAATTCATATGAGGGTAGAGTGAGAGGTTAAAAAATACACCTGTTTTATTATTAGGGTACCACAGTTCTGTGCTCTCATTATAGAAACAGCTTACATTTATTTTAATAATGGTTTAAAATGTCGGAACATCAACATGTGGCTTATACAAGGATTTTTCCTCTTTGAATTTATCTTACAGAAATCAGCTTTTAATACCCATCAAAATTTTAAGCTCATTTGCTTCTAAACTCTATAATGTTTAAGAATTTTTGAAAAATGATCTTCTTTATAATTCTGGGGAATATAGAAGTATCTATCATTATCCCTTTTAGGAGGAACTCACCTTCATTTTCTTTGTGGTCACTGGCAGCCATAGCTTGTGATCCTTGTGCAGATTTCAGTGGTTAATGAGACCCTTGAGTGTATTCTCTAGTTCGAGCTTTTGTTGAGTTAAAAGGAATAGAGTATATACATGTCGTGGAGATTTTGCTCTCATACCTATTAAAAATGATTGTTTTAAGACACTAGCATGTTTTAAATTGGACATAATATACCATTCACAGATTTTGTTCTTTCCTTTCTTGGGAGTGGGTGGAAGGTAGATGCAATACAATGAAAAGAGGATTGAGCATGGATCCTAAGCAAAGATTCACATGTGAGGAGAATAATTTGGGCTTGATTTTTTATAATGTAAGGATTTTGATATCAAAGTTTCCTGAGTATAAGCGTTGATTGCCATAATTTTACCTAAGACTGATAAAATCTCTGAAGGATGATTTTTCTTGAAAATCATAGGAAATATTCAAGATGGAACAGCTTGAGTAATCTTAATCTCTCTAACATTAGCTATTCATAAATGTATTATGAAAGAAGTAGAAGGACTTCTAACCCTGAAGCTGAACATACTTGGTTGACTAATATATAAGAACATATCATATATACATGTTAACATATGGGTACATGTTATTGATATTTAAGAGAACTCTAACATGTGGGTGCAAAGTGTTGCCTGCCACTTCAGTAAACAAAGGATGTTGCAGCCATCAAGCCAGCAGGCACTGCAGCCGCCCCTGACTGTGCACACTGAGGGGATTCAGGATGGAGAGAAGCAGGACACTGGCCCCAGAGAGCTGAGGTGCACATCACCTCATGATGAAGGAAGGATTTCAGAAAGCCCAGACTCTTGCATCTTCCCATACACAGAAAAGTGCTAAATTCATTAACTTGAGAGGTCTGGTTTTCTTTAATTAATAGTAATCTTTTGATGTTTTGTATATCCCAGCTCCTCCATTACCTCTTTGGAGCAGTCCCTCAGAGCTATCTGAGAGGCTGTCTTCCGGGCTCAAGTCCTCAGTTTTGTCTGCCAGATAAAACATAATTCTCAACTTTTAGGTTGTGCATTTTCCCCAGTAGACAAACATAAAAATGCATATTTAACATTGAAACTATACAGAACTTAATAAACTTAATACACAATAATTCAGAAGCATTTTCTGGTCTTACACTGTCTTAGAGTCTTCCTTATCAGCGTTCATTGTGATTTACACAGTGCAGAGCCACTTGACAAATCCCAGTTGTCTGGGGTGTAGTGTATTCTATTCTAACCAGAGTACACATAGTAGAATTTGTTGTAGAATGGTGAGGTATTTGCATTTTCAGGATAAATGGCAATCTTGTGTAATCTCTTAACCTCTGTTGGCCTTAGTTTACTGTTTCTATAATGAATGAGTTTATATCTCAAGTTTGTTCTACAATGTGATCTATTTAAAATATTTATTTCTGAGTTCAAATTGTCCACTTGTTATATAGTACAGTGGAATGTTGGATATTTGCTTTATTGTTTCAGAGATTATGTTTTTTAGTAGCTACCAGATGAAGATCTTGGTACCACCTGTTATTTACCAAATGCACATCTTATTTAGTGGAGAACTGCAGGCTAAGGAATCTTTTCTTTAGATCACGTGTAAATATATGATCTTTTCTTAGGTTTGACCTATTAACTTTTGTCTCTTTTTATGCAACTGAGGTCTTGTGTGCACTTGCCCTCACAGTGGGAAGCAACATCCTGACAGTCATTCTTCGCTCCTTCAGTGAACCCGCATCAGCATACTTTTCACACAGGGAACATAAGTGAAAACAAGCTTGATCATTTACAAGGCTCTCACCATGTGGCCTAGAAGTGAAATACTACAAGTTGATATTCAGCGTCTTGTAATGCTTCCTCAAAGCCTCCCTTATTTTCAGTCAATTTTGGCATTTCGGCTTCTGGGGGCTGGTGTGCATCTGTGTGCTGTGAGAGGAAGGACATAACCCCAGCAGCCTGGAGCAGACCAAGCCCTCTATCCCTTGAGTACATATGGTAAACCTCAGCTGATATTGTGGCTATACTATCACAAGTGCCGGGGGTTAGTCTTTTCAACTTGCCTATCCTGTTTCAAAATGCTCACTATAATTGTCATCAAAAGTCTATGTTGGGCTTCTCTGGTGGCGCAGCGGTTGAGAGTCCGCCTACTGATGCAGGGGACATGGGTTCGTGCCCCGGTCCAGGAAGATCCCACATGCCGCGGAAGCGGCTGGGCCCGTGAGCCATGGCCGCTGAGCCTGTGCGTCCGGAGCCTGTGCTCCGCAACGGGAGAGGCCACAACAGTGAGAGGCCTGCGTACTGCAAAAAAAAAAAAGTCTATATCATCAAAGGGGCAATAAATGAGTATTTTAAATTATTTTATGTTAATTTGACATACAAAAAATGAAAAACCCTACTTATGTTAATCAAAGTTTTTAAATATAATGCCATATAATCCAGCTATTAGCCGGATGCTAACTCTAAATTCCAGATAGAGGAGGGAAAAAAGTTCTCCAAATGACAGCAGGTCTATTCCAGGCAGTCTTGTAAAAGAACCCTTAGAGATAATGAAAGTATGTGTTACCTATGACTGAGCTAAAATGGTGCCAAGGCCTGGCAATTCCTTTTTACTGCTGACACATCCCTGTATGGTATAGAATATCAGCATTGCCTCCACGTCAATGGAATAGGGTGTCCCTGTCAATGACATAATTAAATACACTTTGAGAAGGAACAAGGGCTTTCAGGGATGGCTCAGAAACTTGATTGTTTTTCCATTTATTTTTAAAATGCAAATTACACTAGTAAGTCAAAAAAATCACTCTGTTAAAAATACATTCAGAATTAACAAATGCCAAAAAAAAAAAAAAAGACACAGGATTGTAACTCTTGCCTTCTGAATATTAGGTTTATAACAAAAGCTCAGCCTAGAAAAATAGCATTCTTCACCGGATTTTGAGGAGGATACAGCTGTACAACTTAGATGTTTTTCCAGATAGAATCACACTACTGTGCTCCTTGTCCACTGATTCCTTTTTAGTAGTCAACAACTGTTTTTAAAAATTTTGGTGGTGATGATAGTAGTGATTAGATGGTAACTTGGCTGCAACTTAAAGCAGGAATATGAGGGTTTAGTCTCTGTGCATTTAAATTTCTATCCATATACATGTCTTATAAGGTGGAATCTCATCACAGCATGAATGTACAGTGAAACCTCATTTTTAATAGTCACATTAATTCTCACATTAGAATAATTTCTGGCATGTATAGTATTTATATTTTAAGAATCAAAGGATGATACATTGGTAAGTGTTTTTCTCATACATTAAACATGCATGTCACTATAAAATCATCGTATGAGGTTTCACTGACATGTTTGTGATTGTATAATTTTATGCATGTATATATGGACAAACATATACAAACCACTGAGAAAATTCAAGCACAAGTGCTTGAACTTTTTTCTGTAGTTTATATTCTAATTGTAACCGTTGTTCCTTTGTTTTCAAATGCGTATATGTGTAGATCACAGACATCCATGCAGACACAGTAATGGGACTGGTTTATGTAGATTTGGATGGGCTAACGTTCAAAGTAGGTTAACCCAATAACTGAAACTTCTTAGAAACAAGGAGAAAAAGTTGCTCCATGCCAATTTATAATTTTTCAAGTCTGAATTTCACTGCATTTAAGGGTGGTGTATTAGTTCTAAAAAAGAAAAAAATTGATTTTAGTGTCTCAGGTGGATCCAAAAAAAATGACTCATCTGAGTTCCTGACAAGCCTGAGCTAATTATGTTTTTCACTAATGAAAACCAAATAATGTTTGAATATATAGAACAAAATTTCCTAGGAATTCAGAATATTCCTTAAACACATTGACCTACTATTAAGTTTCCAAAGGCATCTTGTTGCCAACTACGTCAACAGCACAGTTTTTCTGCCACAATAATACAGGAGGATTAAAATACACCCTAACACACAACAGATCCCCCAAATACCACAAAGAGATCTCAAATATTTCACCAAGGTAACTATTGCTCCCCCCACCCACCCAAAAAATAATCTCGTACGCTGAAGTTAGGAAAAAAAGTTCACCTACGTAGGGGCTTCCATTTGAATTAGATATAAAAGAGTAAACATAGCTAATACATATTCAGTTGGCCTCTGTTGATAGAAATCCACAGCTGTTTCTGTGTTAGTAAAAGACATTGGTAGATACTTATAAAAGCACCTAGAGTGCAATAAATAAAATCAGTGAGTTAAGCCATTTCTGTTCTCTGCTTCCAGTAGATTAATGAGTTTAGTAGATTGATACGTTTCTCTTTGTCCCACCCAACCCCCTCAGAAGACCTTATTGAGGAATTATAAAGATGATGATTATTACTTTGTTATTATTACTTGTCTTTTTCTGGCCACCATGGAGGCTCAATGGTAAAAGCACTTTGCTGACAGCTGGCAGTTTTTGTACACAGACACACTGCAGTTGCTGAGCTATGCAGTCTTGTTTCTTGACATGACACACATAGAGTTGAACTCATTCGGAATTAATAGCAGTGTGTTAGCCTAAAGGAAGTGACTTGGGGGTGTCTGCACTGAGATTCTCAGGCGCACAACTTAGGTGGGTTAAGGCAAGTATGTACGGTACAGCCTTTAGGGCAAACAACCTGCCATTTCAGACTTCAGTTACAGGGTCATCATGCCGTGTTTCGTTTGTTTGTTTTTTGCAATTACATTGCCTACATAGCTGTGGTGCTATCAAGACATACGGAGTGCAGAAGACAGGGCTCTCTAGCTAATGTGCCCTGGATGACTTCGCAGCTGGCAGAAGCTGACTGGCTGGGCTGCAGAGCAGTTAGTGACGGCCAGCAGAGGGCACCAGCACGTCTCCTTATGAACTTTCCAAAGGCCTGGGAGAAAGCAGCCTGCTTTCAGGAAATCCACGATGGGCGTATCCTGCATATCTGTCTGTTTCAGTTAGAAAGAGGAGGCCAAGTAGAATTGGTTGTGTGCCCATGTGTGCCCGTGTGTGTGTGTGTGTGCCCGTGTGTGTGTGTGTGTGTGTGGTCCCAGTGTACATGGAGGCTTTATGTTTTGTTAGTATGTATATATATTTAAACTTAGTTGCTTCTTGCTCTTCAAAAAATGCAGGAGGCCACTGCGAAACAAGTTCTTTGAACGGTCCAGGAGCTGATATACTGAAGCCATTTGTATTATTTCGACCTGAGAGAGAGAGAAAAAAGATGTTTTTAATCAAGGGTGAGAGCCCAGCACCTTTTCTCACCTCTCCAAGCACAAGAGTAAACCAAAAAAAAAAAAAATAAAAAAAAAATAAAAGAGATCCAAAGCCCAAATTGTGCTTTAAATAGACAATTTTCCTCTCCTCAACTTTTTCCGCAGTGCAACCTTTTGGATAGAGAGGCCATTTATGGTAATTTAAAATCCATTTTCTGGGGGCAAATGAATATGTATTGCTGTACAATTAGGCCGCCAAAAAGAATGCAATGTTTTCAAATGTGGTCTGATATAGCATGGAGTATTTTCGCATTTATACTGCAGGGAGCCCAAACAGATCTCAACCTGCTTCGGCACTTAGGTCAGTGGTAGTCAAAGCAGTTACTTTGTTAGAAAATCAACCTGTGGGCGTGGGAATGTTTTTGCGCAGCAACTTCATAGCCATTATTTGTTTCAAAGAATTCTCCAAACTGTAAGAGAAAAATTAATGAAAACTTTTCCCTTTTAGATGGATTATAGATAATCTGAAGAATTACAGGCCAAGAACATTCACCCAAGTTAACTTTAAAAAAAGAGGACTGTCTATTCATTGACTACAGGAACTGAAACAAACTGTGAATGGAGGTCAGTTAGGACAGTGTTTTCAAAGCCTTGTCCAGGCTCTGAGCCACAGAAGATTTGCTGGGTATAATGGAAACCCCACAGCTAAAACTGCGCATTGCTTTTAAGCATCTGTTTTCCTTCTAAGGAATGGCTTTTATTTCCAGTTGCTATATAATATCATTGGGGTGCTTGAACTGGCCCATGATGTTAAATTACTCTTATTTTATGAGACTTACTTATGGCAGGTTGACAGGAGAAGGTCTACCCCACAGGACAAAGATACAGGAGATGCTCAGGTCTCTGCCTCCCAGCAGGGGATGAAGTTTATGCTTAAATCATTTTTGGTTTTTCATGGGATTTTAATAGGCAGTGACTCTCCAGTGATTGTATTTGAGGGCTACACAGTTGAAAAAGTGCTTCATTCAACACCACATATAATGTGAAATCAAAAGGGAATAAAGGAAACGCAGGAAAAGGGAAGGGTGCAGGCATGTATGGAACTATGGCAGCAAAGTTAGTGTGAGGAAGTAAAGATAAGTAAATTTAAAATCAGGGAATGAAATGTCAGAGCAAACTCAACAGTCCACATAAGAATTTGGAAAAAACTAAGCAGTCAGGAAAACCAGTTGATAATTGGGGCTGTGTAAGGAACAAGTTGTGTGACCTTTGTGTTTCTTTTCTTTCATCTAGTTTCCTCACCTGTAAAATAAAATCTTAGTGTTCTAGTACTTGAGGTCTGCTAGAGGATTCTTTGTAGAAGGTATGGTAGTAGTATTTTGACTGGTGATTTATTAAACATTTAACTTATTTCATGAGCAGTGAGACTTGAAAGCTCTTATATAATTTTACTATTCTTAGGCAGTGAGGAGGAAAATAATATTTTTATTACTTTTGGTTCAGCATTTAAAGTACTTAATAAAATCACGAGAAGTTTTGTCTTCAAGGAATTTTGTTCCAGACATTAAATTTGAAGAGTCCTCTATTTAAAGACAACATTGGAATTATGAATGCCTGGTTTGATACTATAGTCTTGATTATATATAATCGGCATTCTCGTGTTATTATCAGAGCTGATCCTTACAGAGTGGTTACATCTAATTTATTATATTTTGATCATATTTATTGATCATTCATATTGACCAACACAATGTAATATTATATGATAAGAATGTTGTGTGATATTGTCAGAAGCAAGAAATTGCAGGACTTGTAGATGTTCTGGTCTACTCTTGAGCACAAACATATTGTTACATGTTACTTGGGCTGACATATGTGATATATTGTTTACAGAGGAAACCTTTTGGGAATGAAATACAGTGTATGGTGATTTCTGAGTTGATAAAATCTTTTCGTGAGTAATATTGGTTAACATAAGCATTATTACTACATCTAATAAATTATGTTTATTAAACATGTAGTATGTGACATGTCCTATGTTGTACATGCTCTACAAACATTGTTTTATGGAAATTCAGAACAACTATATGAAGTGCATATGCTATTGTCTCTATTTTGCAGGTGAGGAAACTTAGGCTTGGTGAGAATAAAGTTATTCAAATAAAGTTATAGGTCCAAGGTCATAAAGAATTTTATCTCATGCAGTCTGGCTTCAGTAGCTCGTCTTAACCACTACTCCTTACCACTGCTCCTTACTGCTTTGACTTTATTTTTTAATAGAACACTTTACACAAGGCTATGTTACAATATTGAGAAGAATGGTAAAGAATGTAAAGGATTTATCATTTTATTTTTTGCTTAAGCTATCAAATCTTTCTGGGAGGATAGGAATGTTATGGTATAAATAGAGAGACAACTATAGTATGGGGCAAAACAAAAAGATATCAAAGGAAAAAGGTTAAGAAATGTTTCATAAAGGAAGTATATTTTAAGATACAATTTGAAGGAGAGTGGGATTTGAAAGAGTGGAATTTGGGGGAAAACAAACAACATTTGGTGTCAAGAGAACAGCATGGACAATTGGAAAAATACATGTCATATTTGCAGATGGTAAGAGTTTTAGTTTGACTGTAAAAAAAAAAAAAAAAGAAAGAAAAAGGATAAGGGGAGATATCAGACTATGTGTGCCCTCAATAGATGATAAGCTTCAGGAAGCAGAGGCCAGCTCTTATTTATCATTACATTTTCCTGGGGGCTCCCAGCATTGTCTGCATATGGTTGAGACTATTAAAGGTTGAAGAGGAGAGATAATATTTCAATAGAACACTGGGGCCAGATCAGAGTAGATTTGCAAAGTCTGATAAGGAGTTTCAACTTTGTTCAGTAGGCAATAAGGAGTCATTGATAGGTTTTGGGCAGGGGCCTAACATAATCAGAGTGGTACTTTAAGAAGATTAATTTGGCAGTCACATGGAAGGTGGGATAGGAGTTCTAAAATAAGAAAGAGCCTGGAAAACTTCAGTTAATGATTGCCTGAATTAGGGCAGTGGTTTTGGGAATGTAAAAGAGGGGATGTGTGATGTCCTGTTTACAGAAGGGATGCTTTGAATGACATACAGTATTGGCTGATTTCTGAATTCGATAAAGTTTTTTTATGAGTGGTGTTACCAAATGCTTTTGGGAAACTACAAGAGACACACACACAAAATGCAGGCATGATGCATAGATCATTCCCTTTGTAAAGAAAAGCTTAAAAGGGGATGTATAAGGATTACTTTAATCTCTCTGGAGGAGAAATAATCCAAAAAACGTATTTATTATCCTACACACTAACAATATTAAAAGGTAAAATGATTCAATGGTGGAGGACAACGACGACAAACACATATCTTCAAAGAGAGAAGCTCACATTTCGAAATGAATTGGAATCTTACTTTCTATTTTGATCTTCGCTTGCAATTCAGCATATCACTTGATGCTGATATATAGAATTTGTTATCAGTTGTTATCCAAGGGAATTTGCCTAAACACAGATATAAAAATCAGGCTCTGATTGTATGTCTGCTCTCTTGAGTGCTAGAGTTAAGGGTCTGATAAGTTTCAGTGTTAATATTCTGGTTTCATTTTCACTTTTCACACCAGAAAAATGAAAGAGTATTATTATTTTCTAACACTACACATAATTAAGGTGATAACCTATCATTTATCATCCAAATGAGAACACTTTTAAGACTAATAGGGTGTGCTGGTAATACTTATATCAGGACAACCCATGTAAACTAAGACTATACTGGGAAAACCAGGATATATGGCTTATATATAGTTACATATAACTACCTACAATGTTATATCATTTTCAAAATATACAAATTTTGGGTAATTCAAAGAAGTTGTATATTATATTGGATTTTTAGCCATGTAGTTGATACTTATGTAAGACTACTTTTAAAAGTAACTTTAGAGATAGCTTTCCTGATAAGTTAAATTTTATTCATAATTTAAAAAAATTTATTAGAATTATCTCAGTCAGAACAATATTAATAGAGGAGAAAATACTGAAAGTAAATGACTGAAGGAAAGCTGCATGCCATCTATTTTGTGCCACAATAACATTTTCTTAATCATCTTTTAGTATCCCAGAAGAATACCTCCAAATTAAAGTACTTACATGTACATAGGCTGTAGCTGTAAATGAGATGTCTTCTGAGGCCCCTGATAGCCATAAGAGTCAAAGCCACCTATGAAATCAACTGAAAGGGACAATCGCCTTAATTAGTTAACTTTTCAGAAGAGATAAACGTTCATGATCAAGGTCTCACACAGATTACTAATATAAACCTTTTAATAATCTATTAAACCAGAACTAGCTAATTGTGGAGGAAAAAAGATAGTTCCTTCAAGGCAGTGATTTTTTTCCCCCCTCAACTGTGAGATTCAATTATTGCTTTACAAGAATCTATTCACTTGGGAGAAGAAATTTATATACTCCTTTGAAGCAACCAAGACCTAATTGGAGCAATAAAATTCACTTGCACAATTAAGATGCTATACGTCTTTTTGGTTAGCATGGAGATTTTCTGCAACACATTACAAATGTAAAAAATAATGATCGCTCAAGTGCATGTACCTATCAGCAATTGCGGCACTAGTAATAGTGTTATATCCTATGATTGTCAAGTACAAGGTGCAATGGTGGAGGTCATGTAAATTAGCTCAAAATGGCTGTCTCTGCCACTATGTGGTTCATAATCTCAAATAGACAATCAGAAATAAAGATGTGCAGCAAACTCTAACCAAACATTCAAATGCAATACATACCTAGGTATTTAAGGTACAATGAGATGTAACAAGAGTTACCGTGGTAGATTATATTATCCAAAATAGCTGCAACAATATCTCCTATTCCATATCTGCCTACAGTGTGACCTTGACACTCACCCCATCCTGAGGTTTGGGTCTTTGTCCCTTCCTCTTGAACCTGGGTAGAACTTTGTGGCCACTTTGACCAATAGAGTATGGTAGAAGTGACATTTTGTGACTTCCAAGGCTAGATCAAAAAAATGTCATGCACTTTGCTCTTTAGGGATGCTCTCTTTTGGAACACAGCCATCATGCCCAAACTAGGAATCCCAAACTAGCGCACCTGGAGAGATCAATGGAGGACCCTCGGATATGATTTTGGCTGACAGGCTAGCTAAGGTCCCAGCTGATAGTCACCATCAACACCCAGACATGTGAGAAAAATTGCCTCCAAATGATTCCAGCCCCAAGCTGTTGAGTCAACCCAATCTTGGAGTCTCCCAGCTGAGGGCCCTGACATCCGGGATCAGAAACAAGCTATCCTCACTGTGCCCTGTCTGGATTTTTAACCCACAGATCCATGAGCATAATAATGGTTGTTTTATACCACTACATTTTGGAAGGGGTAGTAACTGGGACAGTAAATACTAAGAGTGCTGTGAAAATGTTTTGGTTTTGTTTTTTCTTTCCCATTCCTGGATGTGGAGGTCATGTGGTGGGGCAAAAAGAGGCAAAACAACAAAAAGCTGACAAGATAGATGACTGGAAGAAGAAAGAGAGGAAACTAGAAACTGAATTAGGGTGCTAGAGGATATCTTTACTTTTTCTAATATCTTTTTCTATTGGCTTAGCTTTGACTAGTTTTTGTTCTTTTTAATATCCTAAGTGTTACAGGTAGAAATTGGAGCAAGTAACATAAAGTCCATGATGTCTGTTTAGTGGGGAAATCTTTTCATTTTTTTAAAATAGATTTTATTTTTTAGAGCAGTTTTAGGTTCACAGCAAAATTGAGAAGAAAATACCAAGAGTTGCTATATACCCCCTCCTCCCCCACCCCACCCAGCACGTGCACAACCTCCCCTACTGTCAACATCCCAACCAGAGTGGTGCATTTGTTATGGCTGGTAAACCCGTACTGACATATTGTTACCACCTAAAGTCCAGAGTTTGTATTATGGTTCACTTCTGGTGAAGTGATGTAATGACATGTATCCACGATGTTAGTATCATATAGAATAGTTTCACTGCCCTAAAAGTCCTGTGTTCTGCCTTTTTATCCCTCCCTCTCCCCTAATCTCTAGCAACCACTGATCTTTTTACTGTCTCCATAGTTTTGCCTTTTCCAGAATGTCATAGAGTTGGACTCCTATAGTATCTAGCCTTCTCTGATTGGCTTCTTTCACTTATTAATATGCTTTCAAGGTGCCTCCATGTCTTCTTATGATTTAATATCTCTTTTTATCATGAAAACCCTTTTATTGAGGCAGAATTTCTCTTCTGGTCAGAAGTGGAATAGTACAGCAGTCCCCCTTATCTGCGGGGATACAGTCCAAGACCCTTAGTGGATGCTTGAACCATGAATAGTACTGAACCCTATATATACACAATACTATTTTTTCCCCTATACTAACGGATGGGTAGCATACACAGCATGAATATGCTGGACAAAGGGATGATTTATGTTACTGGAGGGACAGAGCAGGATGGTGTGAGATTTCATCACCACTACTCAGAATGGCTCACGATTTAAAACTTATGAATTGTTTATTCCGTTTAATCTTTTCAGACTGCAGTTGACGGCAGGTAATTGAAACCATGGAAAGTGAAACTACAGATAAGGAGGACTACAGTGTAATGAAAAGGACAGAGATCCTGATGTTAGAAGGATCAGGGTTCAAATACTGCTTTGACCACTTGCCAGCTGTGTGACCTTAGACAAATCACTTAACTTCTCTTACATAAGAATTATAATACTTAATACTATTAGTGTGAGGATAAAATAAGGAATGTAGAGCCCTGGGTGAGACATGCGGTGTGGAAGAAGAAAATTAAAAGCCCTTAAAAATTCAGGATTTTCTTTATAATTCTTCTAAACCATGCAGTTTAGGAGAAAGAAAGTGTTTTAATTTGGAACAACTGTAGAACTATATCAAATATTTTATAGAAGATGAATTAAAAGAGAGCAAACCTCTTTTGTTTTCTGAATTGCCCACGTTTGCACATTAGCTAATATAAATGGTACCAGAAGAGCTGTACAATAATTGAATGGCAACTATATTTAAAGTTTGTATTTTGAGAAATTATTTTCTACGATTGGGGATTCATTGCAGATAGTGCCTAAATTCCTGTTCATTTGGGTTCACTCTTGTTTTTGGTACGTGGGCCTCTCACTGCTGTGGCCTCTCCCGTTGCAGAGCATAGGCTCCGGACGCGCAGGCTCAGTGGCCATGGCCCACAGGCCCAGCCACTCCGCGGCACGTGGGATCCTTCCGGACTGGGGCACGAACCTGTGTCCCCTGCATCGGCAGGCGGTCTCTCAACCACTGCGCCACCAGGGAAGCCCTGGGTTCACTCTTATCAACATTAAGACTTAAGGACTAGTTTTCTGAGAGGCATTCAAGCATTAAAGTTTCCTTGTTCTGAGGTTCCCTGTTAGTAAGATGGCCCCACCCTGGTGCTGGAGAAGAGAGTGGGCAGATGTAAACAGTAAGGTCTCCTCCACTGAAACCGAGATCCAAGTCAATCTCAGGCTTATTAGTGTTTTTATTGATGTTTTGAAATATTTCCTTAGCTTGATTCCAGAGGTGTGAGATGGATGGCAGAAAAAAACAGATGGTAATTTATAAGTCAGAGACTGTGCAGTGAGCCAAGGGATAACTGGAAGAAACCAAGATGAATCTTCAAGTCCAAAGGATAGAATTGGGACCAAAACTGGGAAACAAAGCTTGAGTCAGGAGCAGTGTAGACCTTCTGGAGACATGAGAAAAGGCCAGAAGGGAAATGAGATGTGTCTGAGTACTGTTGCGAATGGAGGTTGAGTTGTCTGGGTCTTGCTCTTATTAGCCATCTATCTGATGTGTGGGATGGTAGAGCTGATTTACAACTACCCAACTGGAGAGGATAGTGCTAAAGCTTTGACAGAAGGATTGCGATTGTTCTGATCATTCAGGTCATCTGGGGTCATGGAAAAGGATGCAACAGCAGATGACTCAGAACCAAGATGAGAAAAGAAGAGGATCTGAATGTAACCAGGATGCATTTTTACCATCTCACTTGTGAGGGGGCATTCAAATTTAAATCAGAATCAAAGGATATATTTTCTGTAGTGTATTTTATATACCTGTCTGTGTTCACAGCCAAAGAATTTATGTAAGGTCAGTTTCCACATGTACTCATTCTCAGTAATTGTTTGGATGTCTTCCTAAAGACCTGAAGGAGAGGAATATTAATAAGCTGGATCCAACTGACCACTAGAGTTAAGAGTGTGGTGGTCAGTGTAGGTAGACATGGTTCTCTGTATCTTTTACAGAATGGTGTTTCACCCATAATTTGGAACTCTTTGGGGTGCCATGTGGGTGGAGAGCATAGTAGACAAAATTATGTTTTTCTTTCTTAAAATTGAATTACTGGGGTTAGCTTACATTTTTAGAATACCCTCAATACCACTTTGGTCTGTTTTCTGTTTCTTTTATATAATTACATTCATTTAGGCTCTAAAGAGGCTACTGAATATTGTAAAACTTTCCTAAGCAATAGGAGTCATGAAACAGCTAGCAGGTACTTCTCCAAGTAATTGTGATGGCATCTAGATGTTTGGCTCCTAGCTCAAATTTGTTGTCTAGGAGGATGTTGCAGCCTTTAATGGAACAAAAAGAATGAGAGGAGGGAGTTGGTGCTTGGCTTCATTAGGAAATGTAGTATGTAAGTTATATGTGGCACGTACAAGCACCAAGGACCAGGAAACACTTGGGAAAAGGGAAATGTAACTGTAATTGGTGCAAGGCAGATTAGGGACTTGCTGGGATTTTAGAGGTTAATTTCTTTTTACTCATTCAGCTTTATTGTGCTTTATTGAAAACTATCTCCACCTGCCATATTGTGACTCTGCTTTCTGTTGTTGATCCTATCACTATAATTTAAGCTGCATGAGATTTACTATTTACTACAGTAGCCCCCAGAGCAGTGTCTGGCTCATGGAAGCCATATTTACTGAATAAACTCTTTAGGCTGTTGTTGTTGTTGTTTTTTTTTTTTAAAAGACAATTGATTTAAGCATGGAAGATGCTGGTAAAATTTCTAAGTGAAATTTGACTGAGTGCATTTACCCTTTCCTTCGTAAGGTCTTGAATGATAATAAAGAGAGGACCTTTTATAGAAGATCTAGAATGTCAGTGATTGCTTGGGTCCTGTGAGATAAAAGAAATCTTTTGGACACCAATGGGAAGAAGGC